CAGCCCCCACCTTAGCCAGGCCCGTCCTCTCCCGGGAGACAGGATCACCCATAAACGCTGCTTGCGCGCTGATGGACTCGGGGATCTTGAACTCCTCCCTGCATTGCCGGGAAGAGCCCGGTTTCCGGGAGTTTCCCCCGTAACAGTGTTGTTCCGAGAAAGCCTTCCCGATACCCAGAAACCAAACATCCCAGAACAAAATTAAACCTTCTTGCTTACTAACAAGCAGCCTGAAATCTCTAGGAACAGTAAAAACCGAAGAGCTAAATGAAACCAGAGTGATCAACAGAACCGACTGACTCCCCTGGGGCAAATTTCATAATCAGGGTTCTGACAATGAGCTTTGTTAATTGAAGTATGTAGCTGGGGAAGGGCCCTTGGCCTGAACTGGAGACTCCTAGCATAAAGCCAGGGTCCCTTGAGAAAGCATAGGGAAAATTTTGTTTTTGAGGGGTCTTTAAGAAGAGGGGAAATTTTGTTTTTGAGGGCTCTTTAAGAAGAAAGCCTGTGGGTCTGGGCAGGACTCTGGAGGAGAGTATAGGAAATTTGCCACAGGGGTGAACTACAGTGGAAATTGAATTGCGGCGGGCTCGTAGCGCCACCTAGTGCCCGATAAAGGCAAAGATAACCCCCCAGAGAAGGGAATGACCGGGAACCCACGTTCTGTAACTGTGCGCACAGACAAGAAGGAAAGCAGACGCACCAAACCGAGAGATTAAGAACCATAAGAATGCTGTGGACACCTCTTACAAAAAAAAATTAGACCTAACATTCACGGATAACTTTCAAGATATAGAGGATAATTTGCAAGAAAAAGGGTTATGATTAATAAGAAAATGGGATAGGCAACAAAAAGAAAGTCTTTCCTATACGTTTCAACCCAAATGATAGCAAGCACAGTTGGGGTTTAACACTTTTACTTTAATTTAAGGAATTACTAAGCCCTATTTAACAAAAGGCATTTCAATACAAAATAATAGCTCTTTCTTTCTTTAAAAATGTATAACTTTATAATTTAAACTAGATAGGAACCAAAAAAAGAGATTAAAAAAAGAGACAAGAGAAAATAGTAGTTTTGTCTTATGAACATTCATAAAAAAACGCTATTTAAAAACAAGCAAATGGAAACCAAGAGATCATACTATTTAAAAAATAATAGTAGACATGTAGAATTTATTCTGAGAATGAAAGAAAAGTTTAACCCCATAAATCTTCCAGTGAAAGATACTAGTAGAGAAAAATTATGGGATAATCTCCATAGATACTGGAAAAATATTTGCATGAAGATGACCCTCTTTCATCATACACACTTTCTTTTTAAATTTTATTTTTATTTTATCATGTATATTTTCAATAGACTAGAATGAGAGAGCGGCTATTTCATTAGGAGTAGCTCCAGTGAGCATAACATTTAATGAACAATTTTGAAAGGATCCCCAAAAAGCCAAAAAGCAGACGTTTTGTGGCACCACCCACTGACATGGTACCAAGGGCCCAGTCACTGTCCCGAGACAAAGACAAGAAGTAGAAAGGATAAGGATCCCTTGGAAAAGATGGGATTTTTAAAAAAGATTTTATTTACTTTTTAAAAACAATGCTTTATTCCATAGGAATACTTTTTTTTTTAAATTTGTTTGAGAGAGGGAAATCAGAGAGAGAGATCGATCAACTCGTTGTCAACTTGGTCATTTCTTGTATGTGCTCCCACCAGGGATCGAACCTGCAATCTTGGCATAATGGGATGATGCTCTACCCAACTGAGCTATGCGGCCAGGGCCGTGCTTGCTTACTTTTTTAGAGAGAGGGGAAGGGAGCGAGAAAGAGAGGGAGAGTCACACGCCCCCTCCTGGGCACCTGGCCCCCAACCCAGGCATGTGTCCTGACTGGGAATCAAACTGGCGACCTTTTGAGGTCGCAGGCCCGCACTCAACCCACTGAGCCACAGTAACTAGGGCAAAAAGATGTTATCTTGGTTGTTTGAAAATAATAGTGATACAGGGAGATCTGATGGGACCCCTGGGGAGGAGCAGGGAGAGAACGTAGGAGGAGGTTGCCCAGGCAACAGAGTGTCGGGCTGGAAGGTGCGAAACACACGAGCTCGGGGCCGGGGGCTGTCGGGGCCGCTCCCTCTTCCTCGAGGGTTCCTGGGCGGTGGTGCCGCAGCTGCCCGGGTTTCCCAGTGGAAGGTAATTTGAGTCGCTTTCGGGTGGATTTGGGGTGGGAGAAGGAACTCGGGGCGCAGCCCTGGGTCAGGCCGGCCCGTCGCAGGGTGGCCGGGTTATCCTCCTCTGGGCGTTCTAGAGGGGACGAGCTGCGAGGCAGGACCCTGCGCTCTTAGAGAATTGTGTGGCTTTTGTGTCTTATGTTGTTTTGAGTTTGTAAACTCATCCTATAGAAATAAAGTAATTAAAAACAGAACAATGATGGAACTCAGGTGTTAAAGAGTTTAGCTTTGATAGGTAGGCTTAAGTGATAACGCGGTATCTAAAGAGTTAAAAGAGTTTCACTCTATTGTTAAGCTTAATGACTAATACTTGTGGGAAGGTGTTACTCCAAAATTGTGTGATTTTGGGGTAAAGACTCCTTTCCTTTATCACCAAACCTTTGCCTCTGGAATTTTGACTCTGGTGGCACCCTCGCTGCTTGTGGCTCATTGACCCCAGGGGTGGGCCCGTGGGGTCTCCCAGTGTCCGTGAACTTCTCCGCACGTCTGCCCAAGCCATCGGCAGCCTCAACAACGAGCCTGGCTGGTGAAAAGGCAGGGGCTCTGGGCAAAGGCCGGGAAATGAGGTCCGGGCGAGGACCGCTGTGGGGAAGCCATTGTAGGGGCGACGGCTTGTTTGTGACACCGGCAGATTTGTTTCTGAGTGCTGTTTGGAATAGTGGAGTCATGGATACCGGTTTTGTTTATGTGTTCTCAGGTTTCTTGGATTTTTTTTTTTTTCTGGTTTGGTTTGGGCTGTGCGTCCCAGCCGATGACTTCTGTGCTGGCCGGTAGAGGGAGCCCACTGGGTAGGTTTCGGCGGACTGGAGCGTGTGCTGCCATTTTCCCATGTCCAAGGAGGCCCCGATTCATCGTTGCCACGCGGTGCGGCCTGTGGGTGTTTGGGTTGTGAGGAACGGTGGGGGGCTCCCTAGGTCATGCCACCGTCATGCAAGTGAAACAGAATTGACGCCGGTTAGGCAGGTGGGGTGAAATCCGTTCTGTCGATGGGCTTGTGTGGTTGCACAAGAGGGTTTTGCCAGGGACAGAGAGAATCTCCTGATGGCGCAGAGAGGGCAGGAGGCCTGAGAACCCCTCGTGGGGAAGGTGCTCGGAGAGCAGCAGGTCCCGTCACCTCCGTCCTTGCCACTCGCCGTCCAGACCGGGCAGGCGGGCAGGCTCCCCCAAGTACCTTGTTCACTGCTGGTTATGAATGTGGGGGGCCAATGTCCGGGCCAAGAGAATCCTGATGGGACCCCCAAGCCAGCTGGGGCAATTCCCTTGACAGAGCCCCACTGGAGTGCAAAAGGGGGGGGCAGGTATCCTTCCTGGAACGTTACGGAAAGTGGGAGCTGGAAGGGCTGAAGAAGGGGGTGCCCCAGCGAACGAACCTCAACAGGACACTGGCTGTCCCACCAGAACTGGATGGGGACGCTTCTGAGTTTCCAGAGAGGACCTGTCAGGCCTGCAGGAGGCGCACTCACGCCGACTAGAGGGCGCACAGAGTGGGCGGAGGGTGATCAGGACTTTCATCGGGCGGAGTGGCCCCCCGTATTAGGAGGTAGCTCCAGAAGTTAGATGGGGCGTTGGGAGTGAATCCTTCTCAGCCGGTGGACATAGCCTCTGAAGTCCACCACACCCAGGAAGCAAGGAAGGCCACCGTGTCCTTAGAAACCGGGTGGGGAGGCCAAAGGAGAGGGCAGGACCCTAAAGGGGGGAGGAGAGGCCCCCCAGGTGCCCGGCCATGTGCCTGCTGTGCGGAGGAGGGCCCTGGAGGAGGGAGTGCCTGCAACTGATGAAGGAAAATGGAATCGATTAGGCTTGAATTTTCTAGAGTTCTGTACAAATGGACTCATACGGTACGTCCTGTCTGGCTTATGTGGTCAGAAAAATGTCTTTGAGACTTACTCATGTCCTTGTGCCAGTTGCGTAAACACGGGACAGGCCAGCAAGCCAGGACGAGTGGAATAGGGGACGAGGCGGATTCCTGGCCACGCCGTGAACAGCCACCCAGTAAATGGCACAGTCTGCCTTCTGTGAACTGAGGACACTCGAGAATACACGGTTTACCCCTCTCCTCCCCAACCGGAGCGTGAATAGCTTAAATCACCCCACGCAGGGAGACGGAAAGCCGAAACCCCCTGAGTGCTGTTTGTGCTAACCACACCCACAGACGAGAGACTGGGAGACTCGGGGCCCCAGACAGCAGCTGGCAGAGCAGTGCGCTGGTCCCTGCGACACCCTGTGGGCGACACATCCCTCCCTAAAGCTGAGGGGGGTCCAGCCCTGGATGCCCCCCCGCCCCCGACAGGTGAAATGGGCACTGCCCGAGGAGGAGAGGAGGACGCAGACCCTGCTGCTGTGGTTGATTCTGAAGGGGACAGCCGGTCCCGCACTCCAGCAGGACATTTGAAAGTCCTCTTCCAGAAAAGGGCAGTGATCCCCAATACTCGGTGACAATATTTCTTGTACTTTATTCATGTGCTTACAAAGCCATGGACTCCTTAGCTGCCGGACACTGAGTTAGAGAGTACGGTCCTTCCCATTGTGAGGGAATAAAAAACAAACAAACGAACAAACAAACAAGGATTGAGAGTGAGTTACACTTATTTCTGAACGAGTGAAGGCATACACAAAGGTTCTGAAAATCTTGAGCCTGGAGAAAAAGAAGCCTCATTCTTGGGTACTATGATTCTTTGCTTGCCTGGTTTCTTTGCTTGTTTTCTGGTGCTATGGGAACGTGCTTTGAACTTTGCTACTTGGGGCACATCAGGAGTCCTGTCTGTTCTTTGGCCTTCAGGACATAGGAGAGGCCGTCTGTGAGGTAGGCTGGAAAGAATGCCTTTGCCCTGCGGAAGGCAGGAAGGGTCTTGGGATACGGGCGGAATCCGGCCTGGGGCCAGGGCGCGAGCCTCTGCTCTGAGATCAGGCGGCGAGTCACGTCTCCTCCAGGAGGCCAGGGGGTGCACCGGTAGCTCAGATAATGCCTCCGCCACCCGGGCTTTGGGCCGGTTTGGGCCGGTTTGGGCCTGTGTGACTGGTTAGGGGGGCCGCTGGGAAAGCAGGCTAAGATTCTAAGGCTGGTTCTAGTCTCCCCCGCTCTTCTGGAACTCTCTTCGCTTTAGATCTTGTTTTGTTTCTGTTCTGGAAGGAAAATGAGGTTTCTGAGAGTTTGTTAAAACTTCACGTCATGTGGAAAGCAAACAACGAAAGGTATAGGGCATGGAAATGCAATCTTGGTGGGCACTGGAAGGACAAAGGTTTTCCTGCACACGTAGTGTTTTTCTCCCTACCCGATCCCTCCAGAATTTGGCATTCTGAACGTGGCATAAAGTTTCTTTGCACAAAACCAATAAGACCCATTTCCCATGGTGGTTTTCTTAACCAAGTCTTTGGCCGGAACACCGAAGCAGGCAGGCCTGGACTCGGGTGGTTCCCGTGAGGCCTTGAGGACCCCAGGTGGTTCCTTGTGTGAGTCCCAGCAAAGCAGACTTAACGCTCCTGTGGGGTCAACTGTTGCTCTTGCTGCATTTACGCAGACAAACAGGCAAAAATGAAAACTGGACGTAATGCAGTCCCTTTGGGGCCAGGGAGGGTGATTTTCAGGAGAAAAATTGTGCTTGAACAAAAATCACAGGGCTCAGGGGTGGACATTGGTCTAATGCAGCTGTCTTCAAAGTTTTGTTTGCACTTGGAGGTTTGTGGAAACTGGGTTTGTGACATTAACAGAGATGTTCAATTTACAGGCAGGAAGGGTTTGTCAGACTGCCATTGTTGGATGTCATTCCAGCAGAGGGCTTCAGCTGGATGTCTTCTCAAAAAGAAGTCTCAAGGACCCAGAGACTGGTTTGTGATTTGTGGTGTAAACTAACCTGTGTGTTCTCACTTGTGTTTTCGTAGGGCACATGCCTGGGACATTACCTGGTGGCTGTTTCCACAACAGAGGCCTCACTGGAGAAGCCCCTCCTTGCATCACCGCCTCCTCAGTCTCGACGGCCTGGCTGGACTAAGTGGTTGGGTCGGCGAGTGTGGGGAGGTCTGTGGGTTTCACTTTAGAACTGGTCTCCACCCTGGCTGGTGCGGCTCAATGGATTGAGTGCTGGCCTGTGAACCTAAAGGTCACCAGTTCAATTCCCAGTCAGGGCACATAGCTGGGATGTAGGCCAGGTCCCCAGTTAGGGATGTGTGAGAGGCAACCAATCGAGGTATCTCTTGCACATCGATGTTTCTGTCCCTCTCTTTCTCCCTCCCTTCTGCTCTCTCTAAAAATAAATAAAATCTAAAAACCAAAAAACAACCCCCAAACTGGTTTCCTTTTCTGCCTCAATAGCTTGGACAGACAAGGCGCAAAGGTGTTAAAGGGGGGAATCCTATTTCCTCTGAGCCTGAGTTAAGTGTAGTGGCCAAAAGGGCTCTGGACAGGTGTGACAGTCCTTGCACAACTTCCTCCAGGGAAGCCACTCTTTTCCTAACGTAGGGCATTGCAGAATTGGTCCCTCCCTCACTCAGCCAAGCGGTTATCGTTTTGATTGTGCCTTCTAACCCTCTTGCCAAACTTGTTACCTCTAGAGCACAAGAAGGACGCCAGCTTGTCCAGCAGTCTCATCCTCTAGACATCGCACACGCCATCTCCCAGGGACAGCCAACTGACCTGGACTTTGCAAGATCCTTCTCTCCTGTGTGAAGGCCTCCCTCCACTCCATACCCCCTTTCTGATAGGGGTCTCTGGACCAGGGGGTGGGTGGGACTATGTCCATGGCCAGTTGGAAGTAGCTGAAGAAGAATGAGACCTCCACCCATTTGCCTTTGTAAAAATACAAAGTCCAGACCTGTTAAAGGGGAAACAGAGAAATCTGATCAGATGAGTGGGGAAAAGTAGGGAGGGGGCAAAGGAGCAGTGTGCTGGGCATTGCCAAACAGTCTAGGACGGGATTGGCTGAGAGGCTGAACACCTCCAGAGCCCATGGGATTATGGTCTGGAAGATACAAAATAAAAGAAGGGCTCTCTGGTTCTCTATACATGTGGCATTATAGTGCTTGTGGAAAGTGGCTGTTCCAAAATTGTGACGCTTTTGAATAAAGACTTCTTTCCTTTATCTCCAAACCTTGGCCTCTGCAGTTTTGCCTAGAGGGTGGCAGTGGGCAGCGTGACCCCAACTGCTGTTCGGTAACAACGAGTCATTGTGAAAATCCACGAGGATCTATGAGCAGATTTCAGAAAGCTCAACGGGACTGCAGATTTACAAGCACTGTGGCCTTCCTGTACTATTAACTGTGACTTATCTGGAATTGAAGTAGAAAAATCGGACACCATTCATAACAGTATATCAGATCCTAAGGATCTAAGCCCAAGAAAAATAACATTCCAGACCTATATAAATAAAACTATGAAATACCACTGAAGGACACAAAACAAGATTCACTTGAATTAACGGCTATATAATTACATTTTGTGATGACTCAAAGTGCCAAAATGTCCACACATTTCAAAATGGCCTAAATATTCAATGTTATGTCATAAAACCCTGATGCATTTTTGGTAAAGCATTGTAAAGTTCATGTTGATGAGCAAAAATAGTCAAGATCTCCCCCTGCCTCCTGCAAAAGAAAGCAAGAGAGGGAAAGAAAGACAGGTGGGCCTTGACTGAGGGCAGGCACTTGAAGGGGGCCAGAGCTATCCTGAGACGGAGCTGTGAGTGGTGGGAAGCTGTGCTAGTGTTCGTCCAAATCTTTATAGACCAAGTGGACAAAGGGGGCTCGGCTGAGCCCGGCAAGAGTCCCTCTGAATTTCACATTTGGGTCCATCGCTGCGAGCGACCAAGAGATCACATCTTTCATGTAATGGGTGTGGGCAGGGACCCTGGCGCTGAACTGCCAGGGACAGAATCTCCTCTGCCATTTCTGAACTGTACAGCATTGGACATAGTTTGAGTTTTGGGTGATTCAGTAAATCCGTGGGTGAAATTGCACAGATGTGTTACAAGAATTACAAGTTAACATCTGTAAGGTACTGAACATGTGGGTGTTACTAAAGTTTTTTTTTCTTTAAAAATGAAATAAAGGGTTTTGTGATACCGGCACTCAAATCTGCATGGTTTCTCGTGGGCCTAACTAGGTACTTTTGCCTTCCCGGGCCCCTTCCTCCACTAAGATAACAGTAGCAAAAATAACCCTATTAAAGTCATATGAAAATTAATACATTAACACTTACATTTTCAGCCACCTAAAAGTTTTTCTTTTGATTTTAGAAATTAAAACGTATCTCTGTGAGCCTCTAAAGGTACTGAGGGCCCTAAGGCCTGTGCTTCCTGGGCCTGGAAAAAATGACGTATTCGCGCAGGAAATGGCCCGCACACATCCACGCACGCACACCCTCCATCCTCCCACCAGCGCCCTATGCGCGCGGTGGCGCTAAGCATTCTGGCGTCTGGGGAGGGCATGAGGGCGTCTCGAGCCTTCAGCTCAGAAACGGCCGGGAAAGGAGGGAACAGACCGTGGAGGGCGGTGCCCTGCTTCTCGGTCCGCGGGCTGCTCGCCCTGCCGCGGGGACCACGGGCAGCCCAAGACGGAGGCCGAGCCCCCGGGTCAGTGCCACAGCCAAGTGGCCCGCGACAGGCAGGAGTACGCCCGAGCGACCCCACGGGGAAGGGGGCCCCCGCGCGTAACGGGGCGAACATGCGTGATGTGCGTGATGTGCGCGTCCGGACGTGAGGCCACCTGACACGGCCCCGCGGGGAAGCCAGCGTGGAGGGGCGTGGCCACGGAGAGAGCGCAGAGGGGCGCGGTCCTGGGGCGACAGGGGCACCGGGCGTGGGTGCGCTGGCTCCGGAAGGCAGCCTGCGGGCAGTGGCTGGGGAGCGGGGGAGGTGGCCGTGGCTGGGCGTGGCGCGGTATCCCTGGGGGGAGGGTCCCTGCCAATGTTCCGGACTTCTCGCTTCCAGTTTAAGCCTCAGTGATTTTTCGGGTTTGCGTGGCTCTTTGATATCAACATTTCAGGAAAGCACCGTTCTTCCTCCCAGCGTGGTCTCCGGACCAGCTGCACTGGCACCACCTGGATAACAGAAAACACGGGAATGGTCGGCCGCTACCTCCGAGCTAGTGTCTCAGGAGCCGTGCGGTGGCGCCCAGCAGTTTCAGGTTTGGGTGCGCGCTCGAGTTAGAGGCTGCTCCCAAGCGTGGTGTGTCCCTCGGCTCCGGGGTCGGAGACGAGCTGACACCGGCTTAGCTAAACAGATCTGTTTCCCTTCAACAACGTCATCAAAGCCAAAACAGTGCTTAGGCATCACCCACTCAGATCTGGAAACCAAAAGATAAGTGAAAAATAAACTATGTTTAGGAGAGGGATATGTTAGGAGGAAGATTTGAATTTAAAATTAATCCAGAATTCCAGTTCTTCACACATTTTATTAATCATGACATCTCACTCATAGGCTTTTTTGCCGTCTTTTCCTTCAGATTTCTCTAAACAAAGGTACTCCGTGGGAAACAATGAACTACCAGTAGGTAGCCTTGTAACATAAGTAAATTCTATTTTTATGATTCAAACAAAAATAAAATGATAAATCCAGAACCCTCTGGGCTCCTCCCCTCCCCTCAGGTAATGGTCTTTCTAGAAATCAGTGTGGCAAACCAGGATGGGTGGGGTTTCTGGGGGATAAACACCGATTCTCAGGCAGGTCAGAGGTTTTGTATTTCGTAACTTCTATGGGATGAGCCACACTTTTAAGTTACTGTTTGCATTCTTCTCTGTATTCATCTCTTCCCAATTTGAGAAAACAAAAGGTGTTTATTTGGTAGTTGCCATTTTGCCTCCTGCATTAATATTTCTTATACAATGAAAGAATTTTTATATTTACTCATTTAACGTGCTATGAAGTATCTCTGCAGAATCACCTCCACTGAGTCCTTATCAGAATGAGCAGATAATGACTCATTATTCTTACTCAAGAGATGTTCCTGACAAACAGGATCTTTGCTCCAACTCCCACACGTAGGTGAAGTCCAGACAGTTTCAAAGCTCGCATTCTCTTCCCCTTAGTTTTTGACCAGGAGAGAACTGGCATTTACATTTTAAATCAGTAATTAAGGAAACATAGTCACTAACAATCACTAAGTCCTTACATGTCCATCACTATTGTTAAGAGCTTTACATGAATTGTCTCAATCCTTAAAATGCCTCTAAGAAGTAGTGTACTAGTAATATCCTTGTATACATGAGGAAAGTGGGTCCCTGAAAGGGACAGCTCAGCTCTGGCTTCGAACGTCGTTGTTACAGAGAAATGTATACTTTAATTAATTAGTTAATCATGTCGTGCTGCATGACATGGGGCCTTTGGACTGGCTCCACTACCTCCAGAGGGACTGGAGACTCGAGATCAGCTGTGTGGGGCGCCAGTCATGTTTACGTGATGAGCCCCCCGTAAAAGTCTGGACGCCAAGGCGTGTGAGTTTCCCTGGTTGGCAAGATGTCACCACACATCGTTGCAGGGGGGTGTGAACCAGCTCCATGACTCCCCTGGGGAAGGACTACCGCAGGGTCGGAGTTTCAGACCCCGCTGGACTCTGCTCCTTGTGCCCACTCTGTTAGCTGATTTTCGTCTGTGTACCTTCGAGGTGAGAAACCTGAGCCTTGAGTGTAGTCGTTTTCAGTGAGTCCTGTGAGTCCTTCTAGTGAATTATTAAATCTGAGGGGCAGGGTTTGGAAAACCCTGGAGTTTGCCGTTGGTGTCACATGTGAGGGCAGTTCCTTACCTTTGCACTAAGTCACGATGATATTAATATTACCATGTTTTCTTTATTATGCAAAATTGGAATATATATTTTTGCCTAAATTCAGTGAGTTTGGTAGTTCCCAAATAAACAGCTCACCTGTATTTACTGCCTGCAGATTTTTAAAGAGTGATTAGAACTTTCCTCTTCTTCTCCTTCCCCTTCTTCCTCCCTTCTCCTTTCTTCCACTCCTTTAGGTCTTAATGAAAGATAAAGTGAAATGAAAGCAATTGGCTGTAAGCTTCCTTGATTACTAGATAATTTTGGCACATGTCGAGAATCTCCTTATAAACCTTCAGACCAAATTCTGTTCAGCTTCGTTTCCTTTTATTTCCTTCTGCTAACTCTCAGTCTGTTACCTTACACTAAACATTGTAGGTTTTTTTAAGCATTAATCTTTTTTTTTTTTTTTGGTGAGTGTAATGTAAAAGGAAAAGTTTTGCTCCAGAAAGTTACAGAGGCAACAGAAAGGCCTTTGGAGTTTAGGAGAAAGGAAGGCAAAGGAAACCAGCCTAGCCAAGTGGGGGGTGGGGAAGGGCGTGGACATCCCTCAGGAGAGAGATTCCTCAGTCTAAAATTCCCCATCTTAAATAAATTATCAAGTTAATTTTAACTTGTCCAAATGTAAATTTTTTATTGTTATTTTTTCACATTATTAAATATTGTATGTGTTCATATGCCCCAGTATTTTGGGGAAGTTAAATTTTTGTGGTATTTATGTTCTGTTTAAATTGGTTTTCTTTTAAAACCTTTCCTTTCTGTTTGTTGGACAGTCCAGCAACAATCATACAGCTGAGACCTCTTTGCCACTTTGCAGTTCAGGAGTTCTCAGAAGAGTGAGTCCAGTGCTCGAAATGCTGTTTTAGAGTGTCTATTATGTTATGGTTTAATTGAATGGCAGAGGAGACTGTTTCATCCTTCACATTCTCAGAGAAAAGGGCACCAGGGCAGCATATGGGAATTTTACTGGCTTTTGTCTCTATGCATAAAGGTCAATTGCAGTTTAAGTTGCTGGGATTCTTAAAAATCTACCAAAAGGTAATAGGTCCAGGTGATTTTCCAGCTGGTTTCCATCTAGCCTTTAAAGCACAAATAATTTTGACATTCAAGTATTTAAAACATAACGAAGATGATATGGTTTTAAAGTATATCCACAAATGTTTTACTCTCCTAACCTGGAAAGGGGCGCCTTATTTCCCTTCTGAATGGATGACGAATTTAAATGACTTGCTTCTAATGAATAGAAAGTGTTAGAAGTGAATGTGTGGCATTTGAAACTAGGTCGCAAAAGCTGTTGTGGCCACTCTCTCCTAGGACTTCTCTTTTCGGATGCTAAAAGCAAGGCTCCTTGAAAGAGAGTCAATCAGCCCTCTAGACAAGTCCACGTGGCAAGGCCCTGAGGCCATCTCCTCTCACTGATGAATTCCAGTTCCTCTCCCTCAGTCAGTGCCTTACACTCAGCACAGGCCCCGCCCCCGCCCCGCCCCCGCCCGCCCTCGCTGCTGAGAGCCTCAAGCAGAAATTGGACCAATTACAGAGCAAGCAAACCAGAGCAAGCAATACCTCTGTATATTTCGTGAAAACTTTTTTTCAGCCCCTTTTTGAGCAATACTAATCTATATAAAAAAAAAACTGAAGAGAACAAAGTTGTTACAAGATGTCCTATTCTATCTGTAAACTGTCACCAAGTGCAGGATCAATTCGGAGAACTGCACACGGAAATGAGAGGCCACTTTCAAATCAAACTATACTTGTGTGATATGTACTTCTGTATAAGTAAATATATACTTGAGTGGTACTACATGATTAATGGTCCCACAGAGCTTTACATGTCCAAAGCTTATAATTTATGGTAGCTATTGTTATTCTGGATAATTTGCAAGTAGTCTCTACACTGCTTCCACAGAACAGAGTGGTAGTGCAGGTTTCAATTCAGTGTGAGAAACCCCAGAAGTGAAAATGTTACAACTCGTTTGTTGAAAATATGCGTGGCTCTGAAAAGAGCCTTTGGGGTTAGGAGTCAAGCGGCTTCCCCGCGCGTCTACTTGGAGCTGGTGTACTTGGTGACGGCCTTGGTGCCCTCGGACACGGCGTGCTTGGCCAGCTCCCCGGGCAGCAGCAGGCGCACGGCCGTCTGGATCTCCCGCGACGTGATGGTCGAGCGCTTGTTGTAGTGCGCCAGGCGCGACGCCTCGCCCGCGATGCGCTCGAAGATGTCGTTCACGAAGGAGTTCATGATGCCCATGGCCTTGGACGAGATGCCCGTGTCGGGGTGCACCTGCTTGAGCACCTTGTACACGTACACCGAGTAGCTCTCCTTGCGGCTGCGCTTGCGCTTTTTGCCGTCCTTCTTCTGGGCCTTGGTCACGGCCTTCTTGGAGCCCTTCTTCGGGGCGGGAGCGGACTTAGTGGGCTCAGGCATTGTAACACTAAACGTCACAACACTAATGCCAGGACCTGCAAAACTAATTCATCTGCTGCGCCACGATTATTTATAAATGTGGTATTCAAATAAGGTTACTAAGAATTCACTACTGATTGGATTAATCCTAATGTGTCGTCACAAATGAGAATGGAAGTAAACTTTTCCCATGTACCGTTTCATTGGCTACTTCGATCCTTTGCTTGCCCAATCACAGGACCTAGACGATGCTACCCAGAGCTACGGTGGAAGCCTCTGCATGCACTGTGCTTTGTACTTCAGAAAGCATATGCAAATTTCTGTCAATATACTTCCTTTAGAATTGTGGGGAAGCGCAACCTCTGCCCGCTAGGATACCTCCACGCATCGAGTCTGGGGTCCTCACTGTGGACACCTAGTGTCCGAGCTTACATCGTGGGAGCTGAAGCTGATGGATAGGCGATGGTTGAGAAGCAAATCACTGTGCTCCCGTAGCAAAACTACCAGGAAATCAGCAACCTGCAGTGCAACAGCCAGCCGTGTCGTACCTTACTTGATCTAAGTCTTAGTGTTTGAAATAACTGGGCACTCCACTCGTTATTCTGCGGGTGGAAACGAGTCGCTCGTTTCGCCAAGTGTCCTTACATCGGCATGAACGTATCGTACCGCAGATGGGGGCCAACTCTAAAGAACGCACTCAGATGCACATCAATTATGTAGGGACTGCAGACTAGAGGAGCGCGGACGTCCCTAATTCCCCTAACCCCTCCCTTACACACTTCCGGGAGCCTTAAGCCGCCCCTCCCTTTTGGGTAACCCGACTTCCCCCGAGGCCCGCCCCTTATGCCTGCGTCTGCGCTCCAGCCACGCCCCCATAGGAAGTGCAACAGCTTTTTTCTGAGATGTGTGGGTGGCTCTGAAAAGAGCCTTTGGGTTGTGTTGAATTTTTAACAGTTGGCCAAAGGAACTTTCTACTTCTTCTTGGCCGCCTTCTTTGGCTTGGCTGCCTTGGGCTTTGCGGCTTTTGGTTTAGACGCCTTGGGTTTCACCGCTTTGGCCTTTGCTGGGCTCTTGGGCGCCTTCTTGGGCTTGGCTGCTTTCGCTTTTTTCGGACTCTTTGCCTTTTTCGGCCCAGCAGCCGCAACCGGCTTCTTCGCCTTCTTCGGGGTCTTCTTGGCGCTCTTCTTGGGGGTGGCTGACCCCGCGGCCTTCTTGGGTTTCTTGGCTGCCCCAGCAGCCTTCTTGGGCTTGGCCGCGCCCGCCTTCTTGGCCTTGGGCTTGGCCTCCCCGGAGGCCGCCTTCTTGTTGAGCTTGAAGGAGCCGGAGGCGCCGGTGCCCTTGGTCTGCACCAGGGTGCCCTTGCTCACCAGGCTCTTGAGGCCCAGCTTGATGCGGCTGTTGTTCTTGTCCACGTCGTAGCCCGCGGCCGCCAGGGCCTTCTTGAGCGCGGCTAGCGACACGCCACTGCGCTCCTTGGAGGCAGCCACGGCCTTGGTGATGAGCTCGGACACCGGCGGCCCGGACGCCTTACGCTTAGTGGCACCAGCGGCCTTACGGGCCTTCTTCTTCACCGGCGCCTTCTCGGCGGGGGCCGGGGCTGCAGGCGCGGCAGGCGCGGTCTCGGACATGCTGCGGGCGGGCGTGGGAAGAGAACTCGAGCCGGAAACGAGGCACTGGCCGGGACTCGGCCGCGCCGCTGCGCCCGCGCGCTTATATAGGGCGGAGCTGCGCCGTGATTGGTGCGCTGTCCAGCCCGCCTCGCTGGCAGCCGCAGAGTGTCCTCTCGGATCCCGAGTTGTGTTTGTTACACCTCGAAAAATGCCAAAAATATCAAAATTCCCTACACCGAATTGCCCGATTTTTCCCTGAAAGTGATCCCCAAAGTCTCAGGCTTCATCCAGGTCTCAAATTATGAGGAAAGCACAAAACTTTATGCCAAAAACTAGCAATATTTCCCGCCGTGCTTGTCAGATTTCAACTCTGAGAAACAAAACTTTCTATTTTCTTCGTAAATTATAAACCGATCTTTAACTGTGCAGTTTTTTGACCTCTCAAATACGATTCTCCAAGTGGTTAGCTTATTATATGTCCAAAAACCATGCCACTGGAATTAAGATTTTTATTACAAATCTGCACTTAAGTGAAGGAAGTAACACAGGCTCCTCGGAGAGTCCTGCGTATTGAGCCGAGGGCATTTGAGTTCATCAAACTGGATTACTTTAATGCCAAACAAATTAATGCCCCCGAGGGGTAAAATTTTGGAGCCCCAGGACATCAGTCTATGCAGACATGGTTTTATTTCTGTCCGGCACCCGGGTTTTAACGAATTCCGGAGCAAAATTCTTTCCCTTTCTGCTCCCAAGGGTTGGGGGCGGGGCTGGGGCTTCTGTTCCTCTGGAGAACTGCTCCACGAGTTTAGATACCTTGAGGTCAGGATATTGGGAAGGAAGGGGAGTCCAAAACATGAGGTACACAAAAACGGACAAGGACTGATTTTCCAGTAATCCCCAGATGATGCTCATAAAGTCACTAGAAGTGGAGGTGCACTCTGAGGCGTCTGTCTGCATTCTTGGGGAGTTCTTCTGGCCCATTCCTTAGGATCAAATTGTAATATACGAGTAAAAACTGAAATTCAAGCATTGGTCATAAGGCGAAGTAAATGAGAAGTGTGGGTTATGAGATATCCATTCCCACTGTTAAAGAATCCCAGGCGCCATTATTGCTGAATAGCGGATGGATGACTAGTCTACACAGCAGATGTGTTTCCATGTTGAAGAATCTCGCCCTTTGCTTCCCCGACCTCTGTAAAGAAGAAAACAAGTTGGGTGTAGGATTGAATGAGCAGCTCAGATTTCCATCTCAGAAGCAGAGCTTTGAGGGACAGTGGAAGTTAAGCCAATGACACCCTCTGAAGACATTTTTCTCACGGGGTCTTGTTCAGAGAGTTGTTCACTCAACAGAGAGTACAGTTGGCAATGAAAACCCAAAGGACGCAATTATTCCAGCAAAATGGATTGAATGGCCTTGTCTCTAAAAGTTCCAAGCCGTGTACTTGAGAGACAAAACACAATTTTGGACAGTGCTAAAACTGATGTGATATTACTCGGGGTATGGCTGGTTGGAACAGGGTCTGGGACAACACATTGATTTTTAGTTGTGTTGTCCCATAATTTCACACATAACAGACCCTTCAGATGATGTCACTTTGTTCAAATGAGATGCAGTTTGAGGAATCTGTCTGTAATCTTACTGAGTTCTTGTGGCTCATTGTAATATACTAGTTATACTGAAATAAACACGAGAACAGAAATATTTGATGCAACGTTAATGAAATAAATGTTTTGAAAGCCTTGTTTAAATTAATGCTGAAACTGTAATAAAAGTGGCATAATTTTTGATTTTTTAAAGTTTTAATGTGTAAACATTTTCAGTGTAATTAGCTCATGCAAGTGAAAAAGAAATATGCCTTGTGGTATATATTCACATGAAAAGGGAGAAGATAAGGTTCCAAAACACATTAATTGATAACCATCCAGCTAGGGAACCTTCAAACCAGCAAATGAGGAAAATGGATATATGGGCATTTATTCCAGAAGAAGGGGTATCTCATTTTCACTAAGAAAATTACGCTTGTGAGTGGATTCATTTGCATAACAAATGGAAGTTTTGTCTTAAATGACTCTTTTTACTTCGTGTATTCCTTGCTACTTTTGACTCGGAGGGACGTACACTCCACACTGTGGGATGATTCAGCTCACCTGTGGTGGTCTGCTACGGTACAGAGTGTCTCTCTGTAAATAAAAGTGCTAGACAGACTGAAAGAAGACACTGAGGCTCGGTCCGCCTCAAGGAAATCAAGCATTCCTTTGATGCTCTTTTACGATGAAATTCTAGGAACATCAAAAAGTTCCACTGTTGCCACCAGCTGCGCTGGCTGTCTGCACACCACCCACCTTGTGGGAACGTGCCTGTGTGAGCACGTGTGGTGAGAGCGTGTGGTTTGTGAGCGCGTGTGGTTCAACAACAAAATTAAACGGATTAAAGAATAAGCTCTAATTGGTTTTAGCATGTGAATCAGGCAGTGGGTGACATCCCATCTATCACCTAGGAGGGCACTCTGAGGAGTTGTAGGAAATGGTGGGATTTTTCAGGAAGAGAGGTGGGGCAAGGGAGCAATTAGCACAAGAATTGAAAGGATTATTCTTGGACCTGGACACCTGTTCTTTGGGGGAAGGGAAAGGGAGGGTTTGTATCAGGCGGATGGTCTCTTCTCTCTGAGGGGAAAGATTACCTTCCTGGTGCTTGACCAGAAATTCCCTACTGGTTGATTAAGTTTGTTTCTGGGGGAGACAGAACCTGCAGTTAGATTAAGTATTAAATCTAGGTTTGGTATCTTGGGCTCTTTAGCATGCGTGATACCATTTGTGGCCTGTGGTGTTTTTTTTTTTCATTATTAATGATTTTATTTAAAGATTCCGAAGTCTTGTTCCAAATGATTCTGAACCAATAACTCCAGTTGGTGTCAGACTCTCAGTACTGATCGAGTTCCTCGGGTTCCTCTGGTGTCCACCCAAGTCTGGGAAGTGCTGTCGCTCTTATTGGAGGTGACCTTGGGTCAAGAGTGTTCCAGGGGATGTGTGTGTTCCTGTGGCTTTCTGGACTTGCCTGTGAGACCTACGCAAAGAAGTTGGTGCTGGACATGACCGCGCTTGGGGAGGATGGGGGCAGTGCAATCCAATCCTGACGTCCGTGGATTCATACCTGACCGGGTGCTCGAGTGGCTCCGGAAGGAGAGAAGAGAGGACCGTCCACAGGTGGTGGACTGGACCCTGGTTGCCTGCAGACCACTGCAGTTCCCTGACACAGCATCTCTGCCTCTTATCCCACTGCATCATTCTTAATGAAAATGACCCTTTAATGTATTGCCAGCTGCACTGTGTGCTACCTGCATTCTTACTGAATCAAGGCGAAACCCCCCAGCTCTGGACCATTTCCCGACTTCACTTAGGATGACTGGGCTC